TAAAAACTGAAAAAAATAATAAAAAGTTTTATAAATACAAACAAAGTTTGATAAATTACCTTCACAATGCTTTCAACAAGATCACGCGTATGCTCCTTTTGTTGAATTTTCATATCATGCCAAGCTACACATTGTCAAGGAAAAGCAAATGTACGAAAGACCCTATCCATTGGTTATTTTCGACGGAATATCGATGGATTTTTAAAAAATAAAAATAAAACATATTTTTGTTTAAAATCATGTCGGTATTCCGTTGCAAATTATCAATAGATTTGTTTAGTTTATATTAATGTTTTATTATGGTCATAATGTTTTATTATGGTCATGGTTCTGTTTGTATTCCATCTAAAATTTCCCGTCATTGATTTACTCGTGTTTTTAAGCCAAGTATTTGAACATTTCAGCTCTTTCATGAAATACATCACTTGCAATCGTGCATATGCAAGTATTGCAAGAACATGCGTCATATCCAATTAGAAAGAAAGAACCTATCCAAACGGCCATCGAAATCAAGAATTAAAAAAGTGAATAAGTGTTGAACAAATATAAGATCTTAGACCAATAATATAATGAAACGTTCCAAATGGCTATCAAAATCATCAATATTAACTGAAAAGAGGATCTCGAGTCCTTAAAGAAAAGACGAAGATTAGAAACAAGAGCTAAGAATCAATGTTTTAAAAACCAGTTTTTTAATTGAACCGGTATGGTGATCGGTTTTTGGTTTAACCGGTTCGACCGCTGAATAAACCGGTTTCATGATTTTTATCTTTATCCGTTTTTTCCTACACATACCTACATATACAAATCAAGAATTTGATATTCACAAGTTCAAACATTAAAATACACATGAAAACAAGTTCTAGATCAATCTAAACACAGTAAAATAAAACACACCCATAAGTTTTATATCAATCCACATGCATTAAAAAGAAAATAAAGTGTTATATGAATATAAAATAAAACACACCCATAAGTTTTATATCAATCCACATGCATTAAAAAGAAAATAAAGTGTTATATGAATATATATAAACGCATCAAAAAACTTCATAACATTTACAAGTGCTTTTATTCAGAAAAATCTTAATAGATGTGAAAAAACCACCAAAGTTTATTATACAAAAGGTTTCAATTCCATTGTGTTTTTATTCAATTTAACCGGTTTAATTGAACCGGTTCAGCTGGATTTTTGTAAAAAACGGCCGGTACAATCCGATTAAAAAAATAAACATAAAACCGGTAATAGTTGAACTGTTCACTTTCCCGATTTCCGGTCCAACCGGTTGGTTCAAACCGGTTTATAAAACATTGCTAAAAATACAAAAAATAATAGAAGAACATGTAGTGCATATTTATGTATATGTTATTTAAGCTTTCAAAAAAATCTGTTTATACCAAACGATGTGGAAACATTGTTACCGGCGGTAATCCGAGGCAGAGAGTTTTGGGTAGCAAACGCAACCCTCTAATCATAGATGTTGTTGGCGGCATATATCTACCGTTTTCTCTCTCCTTTATTGCCGCAAGAATATTAAAAAACTACAAAACATAAACAATTTTTATTTTTAATCATACAATTTCTATCTTTGTTTTTTTTTTTTTCTTATTTTTAATCTACAATTTCTAACTTTTTTTTTTAAATTTCTTCAAGATAATAAAAGCAGAATATTATTTATATGAATTAAATTCCGTGTTATTTTATAGTTTAGGTTTTTAATATAATTTTCAACTTTATGGTTAATTAAATATAAATTTTATTTTAATTAATATTCATGGTTTTAATTGAATGTTAGTATTTTTTAATTTGAAAAAAAAAAGTTGATAGACAAAAACATCATCACACCCGACTCTTAGACAAATTGTAATAAAAATAATAAAAGTTACGTGACGCTTATATCACGTACTTTTTTCATACGCAAAACAATCACCACACCGTATCGCCTTATGGGGTTCATATGTATTGTTCGATCCGCATCTAAATCATTTAGCAACCCAACAACCCTTAAATAATTCAATTGTATTGAAAAAAACAAAACTAACGTAATGGTTTAGGCTTGATGACAAAAGGGTCAACCAGCATGATGTAGAATATAGAACAAAAATGACAAAAAGTTGTAGACGTTGATGAGTTGATGTCGATATGATTTCTTATGCTTGGGAAAAACAATTCTAGTGGAGAAACAACATTTCTAAAGTGATCTTCTCCGTTGACAAAAACATCAAATTGCATATTTGTGTCTTTTGAAATCGATCAATCATACATTTTGATTGCGTGTGCCCTATATATATATATATATATATATATATATATATATATATATATATATATATATATATATATATATATATATATATATATATATATATATATATATATATATATCCGGTAAGAAATTTTATTTGGTAGGAAGGTAAGAAGTTTTTTTTCTACATATTTTTTTAACGAACAAAAAAATGAATCACTAGATGATTCATTTGTAAGATGATTCACAAGAAAAAATTCTCAAAAAAACATCTATATGATTCATTTTTAAGTAAATTAAGAAAAAATTCACTTTTATGACAATTTTAGTGAATAACTACAAAATCATTATATAAATGAATCATCGAGATGTATTTTTGAGAATTTTTTTCTTATGAATCATCTTACAAATTAATCATCTAATGACTCATTTTGTTTGTTCGTGAAAAAAATATATAGAAAAAAAACTTCTTACCTTCTTACCAAAAATTTCCTTTTTATTTGATCTTATATATATATATATATATATATATATATATATATATATATATATATATATATATATATATATATATATATATATATATATATATATATATATATATATATATATATGGAAAAAGTGAATATACCCTTAAGGGTATATAAGCTTAGGTATCTAAATACACCATGATACGTCGTTTTGTTTCATATATTCATTATAATATTGTTAAATTACAACCGTAACTTGATTTTCTTTCAAGATATTCAACATTTCACTATTATCATTCTCTTACATCATATCTTTTTGTCGAACACCTACTAGGTTATATATATTGTAGTTGAAAATAGAAATTATGTAAAAGGAAGATAAATGTGTAATTTATAAAAAATTTGGAAGTAAATCAAGTTAGAAATTAAATTATAAGAACATTGGATAATTAGAACGTATTATATGATACAAAACGATGTAGTATAGTGAGTTTAGGTACCTAAGCTTATATACCCTTAAGGGTATATATACCCTTAAGGGTATAATCACTTTTCCCTATATATATATATATATATATATATATATATATATATATATATATATATATATATATATATATATATATATACAGACACAGAGAGAGAGAGAGAGAGAGAAAGAGAGATATGTTCAAATGAAAACATTTTTTAGCCTATGAGTTCCAAAAACACACTCGTTTGTTTTCCAGCCACAAATTTAAACCACTAGTTTTAAATGTTTAAAGTCTAAAAAATTATACATGATACGTCATTCACTCACTAAGGTGCTGTTTGTTTTTCTGAAGCCAAAATGTTTGCAGTCTGCGGACCACATCTGCAAGCCTCTGCAGCAAAAGAGGTGGACCAAACGTCTGCAGTCTGCAATAAGAAGACTGTTTGTTTTTTAACGTCTGCAGGCTGCTGAAATAAACTGAATTTTAAATAAAATTATTTTACAAACTTCAAATGATTTTTCAACACCAAAATTTTAATAATAATAGTCTTATAACATTGAAAATAAAATTCATGCAACTAAATTAGTCATACAATAAAAAAAAATGTTTTACAATAACAATTTCATTTAAAACAATTCAATCTATATTGTGCATCAACTGATCAGCAATTTCATCACGTAACTGAGTCATATATTCACGGTCTGCTGCAGTACCATGTGTTGGAATCCCGTCTTCATCATCATCAATGGCCACATTGTTATTTCGAAACGGGACATTGGGTTCATCGTATCGTGCGAAATACTCATCACTCAATCCTTCTTTCCTTATATAATTATGAAGCGCGAAGCATGCCATGGCAATGTTTCTTTGTGTCACAAACGGGAATGGTGCCATCCTCTTCAATATAGGGAAGCGTGCTTTCAAAACACCAAAAGCACGCTCAATGACATTTCGAAGTTTTGCATGTCCATGGTTAAATTTTTCTTTATTGGTCAATGCACGTCTTTGACGAAAATCTCCAAGCCAATACCTCACATTACGATAAGGGGCCATAAATCCTCGAGTGTGTGCATACGCGGCATCACAAAGATAATATTTGTCTGAAAAAAATGCAAAACACTAATCAATTTTCAAATTAAAATGAAAATATTAAAAAAAACAAAAAATTACCTGGTGGTGGAAACGGGAATGATGCTTGTGGATCGGCTACTGCTTCTGATAATATTCTAGAGTCATGCGCTACCCCTTCCCACCCGGTCACAACAAATGTAAAAATCATATTGAAGTCACATATTGCCAATACGTTTTGGTAGCAATCTCCTTTCCCCTACTTCTATATAAGTCTTGTTTCTTAGCAGGGACAACAGCATGTATCAAAGTGCCATCAAGTGCACCAACTGCTCCTTTGAAAACCCTTCGTAGCCTCCTATTATGTCCTGGAATGTTTGGATTCGGATTAAAAGATGTTGGTACTATAACATCTTGTGCGAAAAGCATCATTTTTTCCAACACTTCATAAAAAAATTATGAATTGTTTGCTTCGAGGGTTGAAATCTCCGCTTGATAATCACGTAACGTTGATTATGTCCGATCATCATCAAAAACATAGCCATCTTTTCCTCAACTGATACATGTTTGTTGTCCTTTAATGAGTAATTTGCTCTAAAATGAGCACATAGTCGTACAAAAGATTCACGGGACATGCGTAATACTTCAACACATTGTAAACGATTACGGTGTAATAACTCCAATGTGTATTCGTGTCCCGTCATTCCCGAATCATTATCCCGCAATCGTTTCACACCCCTCTTCCAAAAATAACGGATGTATAGGTACATTAGAATTACGAGAAGTAACTTTTGATCGTGATCCATATGAACCTAAAATCAACAAAGTAGAACTTTAAAAAACATTACATAAACCATATTTCAAGTATCAAATAAACATTCCATTTATCATATTTCAAGCCAAAATAACATTACATAAACCATATTTCAAGTATCAAATAAACATTCCATTAATCATATTTCAAGTACCAACAAGGGCAAAAAGACCTAACAAAATAGTTCCAACAAAGGCAAAAACATTTAACAAAGTAGTTCCAACGAGGGCAAAAAGTCCTAACAAAATAGTTCCAACAAAGGCAAAAGCATTTAACAAAGTAGTTCCAACAAGGGAAAAAAGACATAACAAATACTTTCAACACTAGAAAATCATCGAACAATCTTCCCATCCTTCAAAACTCCTAAACTGGTACCCGTCATCTCAAGCCACCCTCGTAATATCTCGGGAACATCGGGCAAATGCATCCACATCTCTCTCATGTTCATGGTTCCTCCAAAAATATGATATGCGACAAAGTGTAAAGGATCTGGAGGGCCTAACTGAATGACCTATAACTTCTCTAAACACTAAGGAATTGTATACCCTTTAGTCAAACTTTGTAGAGCTTTCTTCATTTCAAATGCTAAATCGTCAGCAGTAACAGAAGTTCCATCAGGTGAAGAAGCAGACGGTGAGGCACTAGGAGCTACAGGAGTTGAGGGTTTAGCCCTTTTGTTGGGGTTACTGGATGGTGTAGCAGTATATGGTGAAGCAGCAGAAGGTGAACCAGCAGAAGGTGAAGCTGCAGAAGGTGAACCAGCAGAAGGTGGTGGCTCATGATGAGAAGTGTCAACACCATCATCATCCATTGCATCAAAAGGGGTGGCGGTGATCTGAAGTGGTGGAACACGACATGAGGATGCGCCAGCTACTGATGATGATTGGGTTGAGTAACTCCTAAAATTACCAGTAGCACTATTTCCATCAAAAAGACGTGCACAAAGATCTGGAAAAGGCAGTGGAATTGTTCTCAAAGAAGCAGCTTTCGGATGCCCCTAAACCCAAATGTAACAAGAAATAGTATAAGAATATTTGGCAACTTCAAACGTAAATGTTATATATATATATATATATATATATATATATATATATATATATATATATATATATATATATTATTGTATATTAATGTATATGTACCTTCTTAAAATCATCCCACTCCTCGGCTGTTAAATTAAAAGTGTTTGTTTGAGAATTGTATATATTACCGGTTTTGTTTTTTAAATATACCCATCTAGTGTATTTGGCTTTCAGATTGTCATATGCGTTTTTCATTTTTTTTTGAGTCAACTCAACCCCAAATTTCTCCTTAAGAACTCTTCCAAGCCTTATCCATGAATCTTTCTGCAAACTCAATCATTTTCTACCAACACTCTCTACTTCTTCAATACAAGTATCCAATAAGCATTTTAAGTGCTCATTGGTCCATTGTTGTTTTTCTCCCATCTCTAATAACCAAATAACAATAAACAGTGAACAAGTAACATCATTATTTCAAGAAAAAGTTTTTATTTTCACAACAAATTTGTAATTTTGTTTTATTTTCAATCACAATAATGTGAAACTTTTTATTCAATTATAAATAACCTCAATTAGAGTGTTTTAATTCAAAGTTTTCTAAAAAAACTTTATAAATCAAATAAACTTCACTTTAACGACAAAAACTTTACTTCTATAAAATAAACAAAACTTATGTCTCTTTTTGATGCTTTCTATCATATACATACAAAATCAACAATCATATACATATACACTATCATATAAATATACACAATCAATAATCATATATATATATATATATACATATATATATATATATATATATATATATATACAACTTTGAATTACTGCATATTTAAGTAATACAATCAATTCTAATTATAAGCATTGTTGATAATATGGGTGAGTGGAAATTTAACATTGTTGGTGTACATAACCTAAATTACATTCAAGGTATCATATAAGCATCATAAGAACATCATTCAAAACAACAGGAGGCATGCCCAGGCTTGACAATAACATAATTAAACAGAAAATTTGGGTGCTACTGTTACAGGTTTAACATCTAGGTTCAATTGCTAATTGAAGCACAAACACATACACAATTGGACTTTTTCGATCAAACAGACCAAGCTGGAGATGTTACAGGTTTAACATCTCGGTATTTCATTCAAAATCAAATCCAATTTCACATTCAAAGATAAATTACTTTCATTACAAATGTTTTTATTTTACAGCTCTTTTATGAGTTATGCATCAATTAACATAAATTCTGAACTATAGCTTCAATGCAACGGATAAGCAGGGAATAACAGAAAGTCGGGAGAAGAAGGAAGACTGACAGCAGGAAAAAAACGAACCTGTAGCTGTGAGGTCGAAGTCTCCGGAGTAGCCGTGGGGGCGACGGTCTCCGGCCGGTGGCTTCACAGGGGAGGCGCTGGTTAACGGCGGTGAGCAGGGGAGGAGTCATCGCTTGGTCGCTAGTTGAAGTTGTCGCTGTGACCTTGTTGTTCGCCGGCTGCTGCAATCGACTGTGATGGTCGGAAAATCGGAGGATGCCGGATCGGAGAGGAAGGCGGCGATCGATGGTTTTGATCGAAGAGGAGGGTTGCGACGGTGGTGGTCGCTGCAAGGTGGAGTACGATCGATCGATCGAGGGTTTTTTCTGGGAGGGTTGGACAAGGACTGGAGGCGGAAGCAAAAAAAAAAAAAGACGCGTTTTTTTTTAGGTTAAAGGGCTTGCAGAATTTAGAAGATGCTATCCCATATCTGTGTGGTGAAGACCTCGCGCAGAGGTTTTTATGTCTGCGCACTTCAGAAAAACAAACAGACTGCAAACCATTATGTCTGCGCATGGTCTGCGCCTCGCAGACAGAAGAGGTCACGCAGACCTGCAGAGAAAAAACAAACACCCTCTAACTCACTCTCTCTCTCTCTCTCTCACATACACACATATACTTTCTCTATCCTCCCCATCTCTCATCTTGAAGGTAAATTGGACCATCGTCATTATCACCAGACCGCCGCCGGAACCACCGTAACACTGTCTGAACCACTGCAACGTCGTTGGAACCACCAGATGGCCACTTCTTCACTTTTTCTGAATTTGCGTAATGATTTTAACTGGTGCACGTTTTTGCAAAATTCATACAGATCCTTCAATGATCGGTTCTCTAGAGTTTTTCCAGATCGATCATGCTTCGTATGACCTTGTTTTAACCGGTAATGACTCTTCACTTCTCGTGAATTATGATCCGTTAACTTGTAATTCGAACTATCTATTTCTATTGTTCGCTGAATTAGATGGTCAGGTAAAGGGAAAATCTAACGTGTACAAGCAGAAAAGGGGGAAAGAATGAGCAATGCACATAAGGTGCTCGACTAAATTACTGAAAGAAGGACCGACTTGCTGTCGTTGTTTTCACATCAGACTCAACCTTTTGTTTTCTTTTCTCGATATTTGTACAACTTCAACTTGTACAACTAATCCTCTCACTCTCCCCCAAAGTCATTTGCTACATAAGCATCTTACAGATGAATCAATCAATTTAGGGAGAATGGAGGAGTAATTGGTCAGAAGAAGATGAACATGTTACACAGCTGTAATTCCTCCTCATCTTTTACCGCCTATGTTGATTTCATGTAGGGAAAAAGACTCAAATTTAAGTTCTCCAATATTCAAGCTCTCTAGGTACTTATCTATTCTCTTTGCTCTGTGTCACCATACGCACACTAAACTATACATCTGCAAATGTAATCCTCCGTTTTCATCTAATAAGAAATTGGGGAAAAACATGTTGAACAAAGAAAATAATGTGTATAATTATTTAATGATAGCATATCAAAAGCAAAGTAAAAGTCTAGTAACTTCACATCCCCAGTAAAATCAGTTTTATCTTATAAGAAGAATGTATCCAGGTTTGAAAATAGTAAGCTCTAGGGGATGGATTGGATTCTATTAGAGAGTTAATGGTCACTATAGGATTTCATGCACACAAGGTGTTTGTCATGTTGTCTAAAAGAACCTAATAAGTGTAAAAGTGGCATTTTATGTGAATATCCTAAACTTTGAACTCTCATTAAGACAAACATTAAGGTCCTTAGGTTAAATTGAATTTCACATCTCAATATCATAATGAGTAACCAATAGTGTTGAACGGTCCAGAATGTGACAACTTAAAGTTACTAACTTGTAAATTTTATATAAAATCAACCAAAAATCATCAGAACGAGATCTTTATATTTCTGACAAGATAAAAGAAGGAAATTTACCAATATTATTTTATCGAATTTTAAGAATTGGTTGAAAGGTAAGAAAATAGATCCCAAAAGAGCACTACAATCAAAGAGAAAATAAGAAAATATATACATAAGTTTTATAAGAGTAATACAACAAAGCACAAGCTAAATAATGTTATGATTATTGTGTAGGTTATCAGAAAGGAAAGGATCCATCTTGCTCATGCTAGGTGATTTTCAAGTTCAAGGAGGCGCGTTACACTAACTCTCCTATTATATAGGCATTATTTGTTTTATGATATTGTTTACGTTTACCCTAATCCGGTAGAGTGAACAATGAAAGACAAAATGTAGTTTGGTTTTTAGTGTGAAATGTAAACAAGATTCATTTATGCGTTCTCGATTCGTTAATTGTTCTCGTATATGAAATCACATGCGATTATGTGATCTAATCACATATGACTTATATGCACAAGATTCATTTTTGTCTTTTCAATTTAATAGTTGTTCTTTGTCCATATTAATCATATGTGACTAAATATATAAAATGACATATGATTAAATACATGATAACAACTATTTAATTGAGAACGTGAATTTGAATCTTATTCACATAAATCATATGTGATTAGATACATATAATCACATGTGATTAAATACACGAGATTCATTTTCGCGTTTTTGGTTAAATAGTTTTTTTCCACATTAATCATATGCGATTAATACATACAGTCACATATGATTAAGTACATAAGAAAAAATATTGACTCATGAATATTATCATTATAAATCATATGCGATTTGATACATATAATCACATGTGATTAAGTACATGAGTACAACTATTGAATTGAGAAAGAAATAATGAATCTTGTCCATATAAATCATATGTGATTAAATACATATAATCACATGTGATTAAATATATTAGAACAATTATTGAATCGACTAAAGAATAAATATTTTCCATATGAATCATATGTAATTAAGTATATATAGTCACATGTGGTTAAATACACAAGAACAACTATTGAATCAACACGTGAAAACAAATATTGTCCATGTAAATCATATGTGATTAAATACATATAATCGCATGTGATTTAATACACGATGCTAATTATTAAATATAAAACACGAAAATAAATACAACCCACTAAATAATATTTTATTAAATAGATATAATCATGTGTAGTTATATGTGTCGAATCACATATGATTTACGTGGATAATATTCATTTTTGCATTCTCGATTCACTAGTTTTTCACGTGTATTTAATCACATGTGATTATATGTATTTAATAACATATAAATCATATATGATTCGATACATATAATCACATGTGACTCGATACATATAATCACATGTGATTATATACAAGAGAAAACCAAATGAATCAAAAACACAATAACAAATCTTTGTAGGTGGGGGTGGTGGTGGTGGCGGCGGCAGGTAGTGGAGGCGGGGTGATGGTGATGTGTGGTGATGGGTAGTGGTGGGTGGGTGGGTGGTTGCAAGTGGTGATGATAGTGATGAGAGATGGTTTTGGTGAGTTATGGAGGTGGTTGGTGATGATGGTGGGTGGTGATGGTGGTGGCGGGTGGTGGTTAGTGGTGGGGTGGTAGTGGTGGGTGGTGGTGGTGATGGCAGGTGGTAGTGGGTGGTGGATAGTGATGGGTGGTAGGTAGTGGTTGATGAGGGTAGGTAGTGATGGGCGGTGGTTGGTTGGTTGGTGGTGGTTGTAGTAGGGGTGACGAGTGGTGGTGGGTGGTGGGTAGTGATGATTGGTGGTGGCGGGTAGTGGTGGTGGGTGGTGGTAGCAGGCGGTGGTGATGGGTGATGGAGGTGGGTGTTGGTGGTAGGTGGTGGTGGTTGGGTAGTGATGGTGGTGGGTAGGGATGGGGGCAGCGGGTGGTAGTTAGTAGGTAGTGATGGGTGGTGGGTGGTAGTTGTGGTGATGGTGGTGGCGGGTGGTGGTAGGTAGTGATGGGCGGTAGTTTTAGATGGTGGTTGGTAGTGGTGGTCGTGATAGGTGGTGGTGGGTGGTGGTGATGGGTGGTAGGTAGTGGTTGTTGGTGGTGGTAGCGGGCAGTGGTGATGGGTGGTGGGGTGGGTGGTGGTTGGGTGGTGAGTGGTGATAGTGGTGGCAGGTGGTGATTGGTGGTGATGGTGGTGGGTGGGTGGGTGAGTAGTGATGGCTGGTGGTGGTGGGTGGTAGTTGTGGTGGGTGGGTGGTGGCGGGTCGTGGTGGGTGGTGTGTAGTGATGGGTGGTGGGTAATGGTTGGTGGTGGTAGGTAGTTATGGATGGTAGTGGCGGGTGGTGCACATAGGTGGTAGGTAGTGGTTGTTAGTGGTGGTGGCGGGCGGTGGTAATGGGTGGTGGAGGTGGGTTGTGGCGGCAGGGTGGTGGTGATGGTGGTAGGTGGTGGTTGTTGTTGGTGGTGGTGGGTAGTAATAGGTGGTAGGTGGTGGTTGGTAGTGGTGGTTAGTGATGGGTGGTGGTGGTAGGTAGTGGTTGGTAGTGGTGGGTAGTGATGGGTGGTGGCAAGTGGTGGTGATGAGTGGTAGGTAGTGGTTGTAAGTAGTGGTGGCAGGCAGTGGTAATGGGTGGTGGAGTTGGGTGGTGGTTAGGTGATGATGGTGGTGGCGGGTGGTGGTTGGTGGTGGTGGTGGTGGGTAGTGATGGGTGGTGGGTGGCGGTTGGTGGTGGTGGTTAGTGATGGGTAGTGGTGGTGAGTGGTGTTGGTTGGGTGGTTAGTGATGTTAGTTAGTGGGTTTTTGTAATTGTTTGTAACTATTTTTTGATTTATATGAATATTATTTTATAATTTTAATTAAAAATATTGTGTGGTCTAAATTTGTTCTCAAATGTTCCTGTGAGAAGAAATGTTCTCGATTGAACGCTCATATATATATATATATATATATATATATATATATATATATATATATATATATATATATATATATATATATATATATAAGACCATTATATTTGTGAGGCATGAGAACGTAATCCTATACATTCATTTTGGAGATAAAAATTTTTTGAAATGCAAAATAAATGAAAATTTTTGAATTTTTTTAAATATTATTTTCGTCATGTATTTTATCCAAAATAAATGAAATTAAAAAAATACCACTTTTTTTAAAAAATATATGTGAAATATTCTAATTAAATATTATACTGTAAATATTCAAATGAAATTAAAATGTTAAAATATTCTACTAGGATATTAAATTATAAATTTTCAAAAAATTGTAAAAGAATATTAAAATATTTTAACAAATCTAACAATTCAAGTAGAATATTAAAATATTTTAACATATCTATCAATTTTAGTAGAATGTTTGAATATTCTAATATTCTAAAAATTCGATTCGATTATTTACGGTATAATATTCTATTAGATTATTTCACTCATATTTCGAAAAAAAACTGTGATATTTTTTATTATTTTTATTTATCTATTTATTTGATAAATTGAATAACGAAAATAATATTTAAAAAATAAAATTTTTTGGATTTTTCTTTTATTTTGCAATTTATAATTTTTTTTCTCCAAAATGAGTGACTAAGATCGCATCCATATGTTTTACAAAATTAACATGGTTTCAAATCTCTCTCTTTATCTCTTTATCTCTCTCTCTCTCTCTCTCTCTCTCTCTCTCTCTCTCGATATATATATATATATACTAGTAGTCGACGCACGGTCTGCAGTGACAACAATTAGTTTCATTCCAAAAAATAGTTTATAGGCGATGATTGTCTTCCTTTTTTCATACATCAAAACATTTCTTTAATGTGGTCAATGTTGTTATGGTTTGAAGGTAAAAGTAAATTGTTTATTTGGGTATAAATGAAATGTATTTTGTTGGGTGTGATTGTTTTCATTTATGTGAATAGTTTCGGGAAAATAATTAGATTTCGTTTGACATTTTCAAATAGTTTCCTTTCTATCAACGATTGGAAATTGCTATTTTTGGTTAAAAATATATGTACGTTGTTATTTCGGTTGCTATTTCGGGTAAAAATTAAAAATGTATTGATCGTTTTATCATAAAAAAAAAAAACATCATTATTGTAAGATAACATTAAAATAAGTTGGCTTTTGTTAAAATTAAATATACATTTTCAAGTTCCATAGATGTATCTCAAGTTTGCTTGTAGATATATTATTTGTTTTATTAGTTGTATTATTATTTTTTTAACATATATTATTATTACTTTTATCGATTTTCAACAATATTTATTTTTATTATTATCATCTGTATTTTTTTTGTTATTATTTTTTTCATTCGTTTAAATTTTTTTTATCCATCATTAATTTGATAATTCTAATTATTACATCAAATGTAAGAATATATTTTACATATATATCATGATTGTTGTAAATATTTAATTTGCATAAAACTTATTGAAATCTTTAAAATGTTAAAAACCCGTAGTAAAGTTTTAGGATATAGGTCTTAGCTAATTTTTTCAAAATTAGCTTTCAAAAGTTTTTTCATTCTAAAATGTATTAAAGACCTGGTAAAAAATCACAATTTAAAAGAATTTACATAAGATTTGTAAGATATTAACAAAATCTTTGACAAAATTTGATTCAAACTCAACAAATCCTTATTTTTCAGGCTTGTGAACTAATTAATATACTACTTTTGTATGTTTTTTTTTTACTAATTAATCAATAAACCACCTGTTAAAATATATAATCACCACTTCTTAAGTTTACTTTTAATTTAAAAATGGTTAAATTGCTCGGTGGAACCTCTCCACACTCTCATGTCCACCTCCCGAAGTGGATGCAATCATTTTTTCATCTCCAATTCAACCAACCACCCATTCTTTTTTCAAGTTATTGCTACATCTAATATAACTAACCAGTTATATCTTAATCATACAATCCACTTCTTGATTTTTCATGTTTCATTTTATCCGTTTTTGTGTTTTTCAGTTAATATTTTTCATTTTTATATCTTAAATAAACATAGTGTAACATACACATTTTGAAATCATGTTTTGTAATGAATAAAATTGTGAAATATTATGTAAAATTGAGTGTTGAGTTCTAACAGATGGTTTTTACTAGAAATGAAGTAAAACTATGTTTAGAATCACTCATAAAAATATTGGAAGTCTTATGAGATTCCAATTAAAAGCCAAATAGTGAAATTTAGCGAAAATATGAAATTTTAAATAAGTAAACTTTTATTATTTGATGTTGTAGAGAATCTCGTTAGAAATTTGTAGGCGAAAACCACGTCAAAATCCGAGTTATAACGAAAAGTTATGACCAACCGAAGATCCGCGATAAAACCGGCACGGCGCCGAATGACGTAAAAAGTGAGTTTTTGATAAACTATTTTTTAGCCTTAGTAATCTAAATGAAAGTCGTAGTATTCGTTAAACCGAGAAATTCGATAACAAGAACGCCAAAATCTGACTTCGTATGAGGAAGTTATGATTTTTCGAAGTTTCAACTTAGCAGTAGACAACTAAAAACTTGAATTTTAGATCGAGCGATATTTTACCAATACATCCTAAACGAGAATCGAAGGTCTCGTCATATGTAATACAACGGTAAAAAGTCTGACGAAAACGGATGTCGGATGAAGAAGTTATGAATTTTTAACGGATTTTCCTGTCCCGGTCTATTAAAAATAATAATATTAAATATAAAGTCAAAATTAGCCGATGAAGTCTAAACGAAAGTTGTAGAGCATAATTTTAGCTAC